ATATGCTCACAAATAGTCTGGTAAAGGGTCTAAAATGTTGTTGTGTCAAAAAGTTTAAAATTATTTTCCAAGACACGATCATCAGAAAAAGTCGCGTTAATGGAGAGGGAAAGCAGTAGCAGGAGCATCTATTCACAGAGGTTTTAGGTTATCTGTCTATATATATACTGGATATTTTTCTTCCTTTGTGGCAATAAGAAAAGTCAAAACAGGCAATTTTCTAGACAAGTAAATGAATAGTTATAATGGTTTGTGACATGTTAAAAATTTAAATGATCACATGGAATGCCCTATTTCTTAATAGTATGATATTAACACACTTGAATTCTGTCAATGGATAGATTAAACAAAAATAACAGCAGAAATACACAAGTAAAAATAATGTTTACATGCTATCCACAGAACATCATTCGTGCCGAGACTCTATGTGTACATTATAAACCTGCATGCTTTTTGCAAGAACAGATTTCAAAAGAAGCAGAATCTCTCTGAGAAGAAAATTTCCACATATAATGCACCTATCGCTTTCTATCTCTCTGCTACTCCTTTATGTTCATCTTATTGATTCTTTTAAATCAAATTTATCTGCTTTCGGTTAACCATGCATCCAGCCGTGTTGGTATTTCCTACTACTCAGCTTTTCATAGATTCCTAAGTTCTGTTCAACTGGCTCTTGTTTTTATAAACAAAATCACTATCACCCCAACTATGCCTCTTAAACATTTCCTTGGTTAGATGAAGAAGTAGATAAATTGTCTTACATGAAAATTATGAGCTACATAGATGGGGGAGGATGCATTTCTGAACATTTTATATCCTACACTGTGCATGGCTTACTCATGTTCATAGATTTGGTACTTTCAATCAAAGTATTCAACGCCTACAAAATAGAAAGCACTCCTTTCAAATGGTGGAGGGGAATAGTGAGAAGAGGACATTTTCCTACATGGTGTCCTCACATGGTCAATCTATTAAGAAGAACTGACTAAGGCAAATGTCAGGCTGCATATTACTTTATCACTGCAATGGGAAATAAATGTGCTTCTGATAGAGCCCTGGAGAGGTACTTCTGCTTTTGGCAAAGAAGCAGTTAAGACACTTTTTTTTGTTTGTTTGTTTTTTCCGAGTATATGACAATCTGCTATTGAGTCCTTACTGGCAACATAAATTAAGGCTAAAGATGGAGAAACCCCTTCAAAGCTTTCAAATTGTCTTAGTTCATTTTGTGCAGCTATATCAGAATACTGCAGACTGGGTAATTTTCAAACAATAGAAGTTTATTGGGCTCACAGTTCTGGAGCCTGGGAAACTGAGGGTCAAGGGATTACATCTGGTGAGGTCCTTCTAGGGCCATGATTACATAGTAGAAGGAATCACATAAACAACAGAGTGTGTTCAAGAGACTGAGAGATGGAACCCACAACCTTAAGCCCTTTTATAATCAGCATAAATCCATTCATGAGGGTGTAACCCTCTAGATCTAAACACCTCCCATGAGGCCCCACTCCCAACATTACTGCCCTGGAATTTCAGTTTCCAACACATGCTTTTTGATAAACACATTAAAACTGTAACCCTCATGTGGGCCTATGATTCACAAACAGGCCTGTAGCCCCTGGGATGGAGAGAGCCATCCTACCTTTTTCTGACTATGCATGCCAGGACTTACATCGTGAGAGGCTGTGAATGTCAAGTTTGTTAACATAACTCTCTCCCACCTTGTATTTTACACTCTGTGCTTTTTTCAAATTAGACTTCTTTCTGCTCTCCACACATGCTGTGTGGTTTCACACCCCCAGACTTTGCTTAAGTTTTTCTCCGTCCTGCCCACATACCTACCTATCTAATTTCTCCGCTTTCCTCAAAACTTCATGAATCCTTTCTTAATCCTCTATTCAGAAAAGATCCCTTCCCCTTCTGCCACAACAGCAGTGCATTTTCACTTTCCTTGTGGCATTTTTTAAAAACCTGATTTATATGATTGAATTGTGTGCTTATGCCTGATATCTTCAACAAGTGACTATTATTAGCAAGTTGAGGGGCTGGATTAATAGCTATGTCACCTTTCTTTGTATATTCTTCAATACCAAGGGTTTGTCCGTTTATCTTTTCCATGCACACTGTGCTCTCTCTCTCTCTCTCTCTCTCCCCCTCTGTCTCTCCCCCCCCCACACACACACACACTGGCGTTTGGGCACAGTCTTATGATACAAACTTCTAATCAAAAATTTCATTCTTTGCCAGGTGCGGTGGCTCAAGCCTGTAATCCCAGCACTTTGGGAGGCCAAGGCGGGTGGATCACGAGGTCAAGAGATCGAGACCATCCTGGTCAACATGGTGAAAACCCGTCTCTACTAAAAATACAAAAAATTAGCTGGGCATGGTGGCACATGCCTGTAATCCCAGCTACTCAGGAGGCTGAGGCAAGAGAATTGCCTGAACCCAGGAGGCAGAGGTTGCGGTGAGCCGAGATCGTGCCATTGCACTCCAGCCTGGGTAACAAGAGCGAAACTCTGTCTCAAAAAAAAAAAAAAATTCATTCCCGTCCGATAGATTATTGCTACCATCTCCCTAACCTCACTCTAAGAAGACTTACTATCTAAATTATCTTACAGGATACCAGTCACATTTTCCTCTGGCGTGGTTTAACCCATTGCCTAAGACAAAAGTAACTTGACTTGTAATAACACAGAGGAGAATCCAGTTGTCAATATTTTCACCTGATTAACAGGTGTGTCACTCTGTGTGTGTGACAGGCACTTGGCCAATCCCAGTGTCAGGTTGAAAGATGGCAGATTGGGTGAAGATGCTATTTGACACAGGTAGTATTCTTTTAACTACCTTCTGTGATTGTGTGTGTGTGTGTGTGTGTGTGTGTGTGTGTGTGTATTGCAATCATCCTTTGGTATCCGCAGGGGGACTAATTCCAGTATTCTCACTGATCCTTGGGTGCTCAAGACCCTTACACAAAATAGTATAATATTTGCATATAACCTTCTCCTGCATATTATCTCATCTCTGGATTAGGTGTAATACACTGTATAATGCAAATGCTTTGTAAATAGTTACTTTGCTGTATTTTTACTTGTTATTTTAATTGCATCATTGTTTCATTTTTAAAAATTATTTTTCATCCATGGCTGGTAGAATCTGAGGATGTAGAACTGTGGATGCAGAAGGCCTACTGTGTAGCATTTTTCAATGCCCAAGAGACGTGAAAAATTGGAGTAAATAAAAGAATCACTGGTTCTTCACATCTATAAATGTGCTACTTCCACCCTTTCCTGCAAAGAGCTGACTATGAGCTTACTGAAGTGTGGTTAGTGCATTCTAGAGCCAGGAAAGGGTGTGAGAAAGGTACCTTGGCAAAACCACTTTCTAAATACCTTGTGTGCTATAAGATCAAGAGGAAAGAAGAGGTTCTCAAGCTGTGAGGTGCTGAGAGGGTCATTGCTTATAGGAGTTTAGCGATGGTGCGAGTTGAGGGCCGCCTTTCCCCTCCTCTCTTCCCAATAACCCCATCCCAGGATGCAAAGTAGGTAAATCATCTGTATAAACCACTCTGCCCGGGGAGGGCAAATCATGGACAGTATCTCCCTATGCATGTTAGCCTGTGTCTCCTCTGGCTCCCTACCCTCCTTGTAGGCAGCGACCATTTCAGCATGAAATCCCCAGGCAGGGGCTGGATTCTGAGCTCTGCAACATTTCTTATCTCCGTGCTCACCCCCGGCTATTTCTATGTTCCCTCTGATAAGGAAGGAGCTAAGTTCCTAGCAGAGTCTGGGGCGAGGCAGTTGAGTTCTCTTAGGAGCCAGAGGGAAAGTGCAGATGAAAGGACCCATTGACCGCTCCTGCAGGTTGCAGTGACCTCAGGCCAGATTCTTAGGTGTCCCCCACCCCCCAGGGCCTGTCATTCGGCCTCTTACAGCTCTTGGAGGAGATGCGACCTTAATCTCACAAAGGTTTTCCTACCCTTCCAGGAGAAATAACGATAAGTCCCAATCTCAGGGAGCAGAGAGTTAGTTCTGGGCGCTTGCCACGGCTGCCTCACTTCAATTGACACTCGCGCACACTCACGGGTACTTGGGTGTTGGGGGTGGGGCACCGATCTGGGGAAGGAACCGGCTCCCCCACCCCCTACTCATCTTTGCAGACCTCCCTCGGTGCACCCCTGGCCGGGATCTGGCCAGTGCAGCTCACTGAGACCTAGGGCAGAGCCAGAGGGGTGAGGCCAGGAGAGACTTCAGGCCTCTAAGGACACAGCTGGGGCTGAGGCTCAGTTGAACTCAGCCCCGCCCGCGGCTCGCCCCCTCCCCAGTGCCTCTCCCTTAACCTGCGGCCACCAAGAGTAATGGGTTGAGATGTAGATGAAACACTGTGTACCTGATTTTTTCCGCCTACCCTCTAGCGCCCGAGGAGACGTACGGTGTAGACTCTAGGGGACTACTGCTTTCCCTCTGCCGCGGCGGGATGGGGAGCGTGGGAAGGGGACTGCCGCGCAAGGTGCCAGCCGGCTCCAGGTTTGAGCGAGAGAGGGAGAGGGAGGTCCACGCAGAGACATAGAATCCCCCTCCTCCCTCGCCCTAAAGGAATAAGAGCTGCGGGACACACTACCAGCCTCCAGACCCCCCCATTCCATTAAGCCGGGACGCGCTGGCGGTGCAGGGCCGGGTGGCCGCCTGCAGTATCAGTATCACTATCAGCATCAGCATCTGCACCTGCATCAGCATCAGCTCGGCTGCCCCGAGGTGGCAGTTGGCTGTGAAGGAGCTCCAGGCTGCCCCCATCCCCACGCCCTTCTCGGCTCAGGGCATCCATGAACCTGCAGATGGCCGGCGGGCGAGTGGCGCCGTCACGATCGCGGCCGCCCCTCTAGCTGGAGGCACCGGGGACCGAACCCGTGGCTTCGAGCTCGACTGCGGACGAATCCGGGGGCTGCGCGCCTCGCGGGAGAGCGGCCGCCGTGCGGCGCGGAGGGATACGCCTCGGCCGCACCTCCCGCGCCGCGCCCCCGCCCCCGCCGCCGCCGCCGCCCGCCCTCCCCGCCCGGCTCTGCTGCCGCCGCGGCGGCCGCTGCTGCTGCTGCTTCTGCCGCCGCTGCCGCCGCTGCTGCCTGGATATAGTGCGGCAGGAGCGGAGCTTGCAGTCACTTTGCGAGGAGGAGCGCGCGGGCTGCGGGCGGCTGGGGCACCCCGGAAGCGGCGGCGGCGGCTCCAGCAGAGGCGGCCGGGGCAGCGAAGGGTTCTCTCTCCAGGGCTGGACTTAATAACTTTGAAACTGTCCACCGCTGTCACGTCCTGAACATGAGCCTCCTCCTCTCCTTCTACCTGCTCGGGTTGCTTGTCAGTAGCGGGCAAGGTAGGAGTGTGGTGCTTTATTGCATTTACTTTCCCTCCCCCTTCCACCCAGCCAAGAGAGGCAAAGCGGGGGGCGCAGAAAGAATTAAATGAAAGAACTAAAGTTACAGTTGTTGTTGTGGTAGTTAGGGTTATTTTCGTTCTTTCTCTAGCTGCCCCTAAAATTGTATCTGTTGTGTGGAGACCCCTAAATAAGAGAAGGTAAAATACAGACTTGGAGAGGGGATATCAGTGAGCAGGATACCCAGGGAAAAGGCTTCTTTTTTTTTTTTTTTTTTTTTTTTTTTTCCTCTCTCTGAGATTTTGGCTTTCTCTTATTTTCATGATCAAAAATTGGATGAGTATGTTGGTGTGTGTTAACAGTGAAATATCTGAGGTTGCGGAAGGAAAGGGCACGATGGTGTTTTACAGAAGCAGCAAAAACTATCAGCGTTAAACTCATTTGCAGAATATCTGTTGTGTGCAAGACATTCGATTCTTGGAGACTCTTTTTTATTTTCACCCCTTTCCCAAAACCTTAATTTCTCACTATGAAGTGAATGATGATGGCTTATTTCTGTTGGAAACTAAGAAAGGGGTGATGGATATTGTGTGTAAGAAAGCAAATGGATAAAACTAGGGATGTGTTGCAGTCATTCATTTTGACCCCCAACACCTTATTAATACAGAAAGGTGGAATAATTTTATGACATTAGATTGTAATTACACCTGTAAAGGATTTTTGGGGTTGTGGAGAACTGGTGGGAGCTTTTATCTCTTAAAAAAAAAAAATGAATAGCCTGGTAGAATAAGCTGAGAGGGAATTGTGGAAGCTATCACTGTTTGTCTGTACAGAGATAGAGATGAATTGATCAGACTGTTTAGACTGTAAGCGTTCATATGAAATATATTTACAATAAATGGAAGCATTTTCAACTGTCCAGACAAGTTTAGACGTTTAATTAGGGACACAAAATGCTAAAACGTGCATTGGTGAAAGTCTTTAAAGGAAAAATAAAATAGCTGTAATTTTGAGATATGTAATGATTGCAAAGAATGCTATATTATTAGTGTGGCATGACATTTTTTTTTAAAGAAATAATAAATTACAAGACAAGTTAAAATATCCCCCCGATATTCAATTCTAAGCATTTTTAGCCTCTTCTGTATTGCTCGTTTGGTCCAGCAGGGGGTGATAGAACTCCATTTTAAGCCCAGAATACGGTTGTTTCTGCTCTTCCACAGAGTCCTTCTATCATTCTTCAGCAGGGCTTGACATTTTGGATGTGAAGCCTTCCTTTCTCTTCCCTTCTCCTCCCCACAGCTATAGTGTTAGTGGCTGATGAAACACGATTGGATACAGATTTAATGTTCAGAAATCAGTATGCAAATGTTGGATGTTGCTATAGTTCGTAATAAAGTGTCTTGATAAGATTCTGCTCATTTCCCCCTCCTAACATATAGTGTGAAATATTTCGGTCTTAGCAAAATTGCAGCTATGTCCATCTGAAGCTAATATTAGCCCAATTCGTTAATCCAGTGGTTCTTAAGCAAAGATCACCATACACATGTCCTGCAGATTGGCTGCTTTAATTTTCAGATAGCTGCTGATTATGTTTTAACTGTTCATTTACAGCATAGACAGGTATTTTTGAGTACTAGGAAACAATCCCTGAAAATTGCAGTGAAAATACAGCTGGAATTAAGTAAGTGTAGATAGTGTGGAGCAGCATGGGGCCATACTAGGACGCAAGTTTATGCAGACTTATGATTACATTGTGAGTGGTTTGGAGAAGAAAAACGTCTCAGTTGAGGAGTCTGAATTTATCATTGCAGAGGCTAAGTGTGTTGGAATTTGGATGCTTAGGAAATCTAGAAATGTTTAGATATATACGTTTAGCTAATACACAGAAACACAAAATTTGGATGTGTATATGTAACATAGATGTGAAATTGTGATTCAGCTAATTTATAAGTCAGAATACAAGTGGTTATAAAGAGGCACTCAGAGACAAGCATCTCTGAAGAGGAACACTTATTGACTGTAATGAAACAGGGTGGAAGGAGACCATCATTGCAAGGATCGCTCTATCTAGTACAATTTCACAATGCATGACACTCAGAGAGGCATAGATGCATAACAGAGGGACCTAGCTTTTGTGAAAAAGAACATGTAGTACTTCTATGCCTTGTGTCCTTATGAAGTCAGAGATGCCTGGAAATAGAGACCCTCGCCCTTGGGTCCAATTCCTCTATGCTAGTGTTTTGTTCTTGAATTAAGAATGTAGCAGCAAGTATCAGACCCACTATCAGTGTCACTCATAATTTTGTTTATTCTCTTGTAAAGAGAGCCATGGAAAGCCACCAGTCAGTGATCCCTGGTCTTGCCTTAGAACTACTAAAATCCCAGCTTGCTGATTTATGTGTCCAACAATATACTTGCAGGGGATTTTATGAAGCATGATTGAAGCTATTGCTTTAGAAAGTGGTGTGCAGTTAGACTGGGGAAAGGCGACAATGATATATTCCCTTTTCAGGAGTCAAAACATTTTGAACTACAGCAGTCAAATAGAAAATAACATTAAGTAAGAAACTGACTAACTTAAGTGAATGTCAATACTATAATTAGCTAACGGGGCCTAATAGTTTACTTGTAACTCCCAACACAACCTTATTGTTGTATAGTAGTAAGATGCATTTTTTATTGTAGCAGAAATACTCCTTTAAAAGTCTCTCATTTCCACTGCAAGATTAATGTCTAATGAAGTGAGTTTAGAATGTTATTGTCAAGTCTGAATTTAATGGTCAATGGAAAGAAAATTCTGTAATTCTGTAACTTTTGCAATTATTTTTTCTTTGTATTCAAAACTTGGTCACAGCCTTGGTAATCATAAATCTCCAGTGATAACTTCGGTTTCTGATTAACTGCATTTGCCATTTGGATCTTTGTTTATTCAAACTCCCAAACTGTAGTGTGTATGGGTTGCTTTCATGAGACTTTTTACATATTTAAAATCACTTCCTTCTTTCTTTAAAAATTAAGCAAGTATGATTAATAAATATTTTTTTCCTGGATATTAACATATATAAAATAGAAGCACTGCTATACTAAAACCTAAGGTAAGAATAAGGCTATTCATCTCTCCTGCAATTCAAGTTGAAACATACCTACTTAGAACACTTACCTAAGGCAAAACCGTAAGGAAAGGACGGGTGAATTGCCCAGTTGATTAGTTAAACCAGACATCTGCTTACAGTTACTCTCTTTGGTGAAGGTCTAGTAAGTCATTGTACATTAGAGAAATGCACCTTCTAAAAATAGAGCACAGGTGTGTGCGTGTCTACTAGTTTGAAGATTACAGGAGAGATCTCCACAAACTCATCTTCTGTCTAGGCTGTTACATGGCTCCAGCCTCTCTCAGATCCTTTTTCTATCTGCTCTGCTCTCATTCTTTGATATCGGCCTCTTTGTACAAAGTTTCTATTAAATCAACTGGGTCTTCTTTTGCACTTGGGGAAGATAGGCTAATGTAAATTATTATTTTTATTGTCAAAGAGTAACCTAGAGGATTTCCCTCCCTACTTCATATCAAAGGAGTTAAGCAGAGCATTTTCTCACTTTACTTTTAATGCAGAATAGGAGCTCAGAAAGCCAGAAGGGAAGTTGGTGGGTCCCGGGGGTGTCAGATGAGTCTTTTCAATGACACAGGGAGCTAACGTTCTCCCCGAGGTAAAGTCCTTCTAGAGAAGCAATTAATGGAACAAAGGAACCTCATTCAGGACCAAAAGAAAGTTAGACTTCATATGATTTTTAAATAAAATGGCCTTCTTTCAAAAAGAAAGCTAGTTAGGAATGAAACTGAGAAGTGAGCTACAGAGACTGAAGCTAGTAACGAAGCTGAACCTGTAATTTATTTTTGCCTGTCCTTGTGTAGAATCAGTGCAAATACTAACAGGATCGACAGTCTCAAGACTCTGGAACTGGTCCTCCTGCTTTCTTTGTCTTTTAACATTTGGAAAATCATTGTCACTTATCTCAGGGTCATCTCTCATAGCAATTAATTTTCAAGAGCATGAAGAAAAGTGCTCCATATTGATAGAGTGAGTCTGAATCACCTTCTTTCCCCCCAAAATGAAATTAATCCTCTGAGTGTTGGTGTATGCAAAATTAATTTAATAATTTTAATATTCTTATCAAGGGACTGTCATTGTTTTTCAAATTTTATTGTCCTAAATTTTAAATGTAGTGTGCCCTTTATACAAACCCATTTAAACTGAGGAAAGGCCTATTTAAAATATTATAAATATGTTTTAATTTTCCAAATTACTTGGTAGAAGAATACTTTAAGATGTAACCAGTGCTTATGCTTTTATTAAATGTAATATTTCTGCCCTTTATATAGCCAAACTATCTCTAATTGTTCAACGAATAAAAGTGCTTCCCTCTGGTGCTCTTTTAAATATTTTAATAACTTTTAATAATTTACAGTTATAATAATAGTACTAATCCCAAATAGATCAACATATTTCCTAGCTTTCTATATTCACTTGTGCCACTAACAATCCATCAATCATTACAAGACATTGTAGAAAGCTATGATGTAATGAAACGTTTTAAATTTAAATCAAGATGTTTGGATTTAAATATTGAAGAGAGGTAATGGGGAATTTTGAGAATATTTATAAGCATAGCTAGCAATCAAAACATTATAGTTTGAAGAATTTCAGGTCAATTGATCAAATTTTTCTTGACTTCATTTGATTTGTTAAAACTTATGGGGTCGAAGAAAATTCATTGGATTTGGAATCAGAAGACCTAGGCTACTAAGAGTCTCTCAACCTTGAAGAAACAACTTACACCCTTAGAACCACTATTTGCTTATTTGAAAATTTGACATTAAAAGATCTGGCCAGTTGACCCTGATGCTCAGCCATGAGGAGCAATTATGACAATAAATATGTATAGGCAGGCACTTTGCAAATGTCTACTATGCTAGGCTTTGTTTATATTTTTTAATAACG